TCGCTAATAAAATTATTATAAAATAATTTAATATCGATTTATATGAAATCAGCTTATTGTGTAATCAATAGCATATATTATACGAATAAATAAGATGAGAGTATACTAGGCCCTCGATTTAACGGACTAAATGGAGAGGGGTAGCCGCTTATTGTCGAAAATTGGGTAGTCTATGTTTTAAAAACATCTTAATAAAGCATTTACAACGTAAGGATGTATTAAAATGTTATTATAAGATAAAATAACATTTATATTAATATTATATTTACGCTAATATTTTATTCGTATAAGTAGCATATAAATAATATATTATTTTATACTTATAGACTCATTGACCCGTCTTTTAGCCTACTCTATTCGCGAATAAGCCGCAAAAAGTTATAAATTTTACCTTCCCAGCTGTTATAGGCCTATATAACATAGGGAAAATATGACGATCGGTCAAAAAAGGATCCCCACCAAGATTTTTACATTTTTGGGCTCAGGGGACCTTGAAACGTCGAGAAATTTAAAAAGGTAGGGAGGGGTTCTGTATGTATGGATGTTAGTGTGTGTGTGTGAGGGGCACGATTTTGTTCATTCTCTTTGAAGTTTAATAATTCCTTTTCCTTTTGTCAAAAATTTCTGAAATTTTGCAGGGAGATTTGTGTATTAGGGGAATTAATACTATTAAATTTTGGTGGTTAAAGGTCGAGGGAATGAGAGATAGAAGGGGGCATGTGTCATATCTTCAGTAGAGTCGAACTTAATGATTTTACNATTTTTTTTTTTTTTTTTTTTATAAAACTCATCTCGACCGTCAAAATTAAGCTCTTTGCAATTTTATAATAATTAAAAATTTAAAAAGTTTTTAAATGTCATAACAGATGGTGCCACACACGCAGTTTTAAACGTTGCCGGGAAAGTTAAGCAATTCGTTGCTGGATTTTTATTTTAGAACAGGAATTTTTGTCCGTTAATCGAAGATTTATTGTATACACGATTCATTTTATCAGACAAATCATACACTCGCATTTTAAGTGTGTATAAAATTACGTTAATTTAGTTTTATACACGCTTTATCAAACGAATTTCGATTAATATTTAACATTTCTTTTTTAGTCTCAGTACACTTGCACTCAGACTGTAACATTCCCAATCACCGAACTGATGCCTTTTTTTAAGTATAAAAGTTTGTATCGCCAATTTTACACGCGATATAAACTTCTATTTTTAAATTTTACACGTATTTACATTCGTACGTCCTTGCGTGATTCAAGGACGAATCTAGGAGCGGAAAGGACAATTACCCCCTTAAAATAAAGCAAAACGATGTTATTTTTAACGCGCATTTTATAGTTTTAAATCATTTTACAAACGTTTATACCGACCGATATATTTATTAAATGGCTTTATAACATTAAATTTAAGTATTTATTATTTTGTTTTTTTAGCTTCCAGTCATAAAAATCGATCCTTCCCTCTCCTTAAAACAAGTAAAATTATGTCTCCTGACGTGATAAGAGATTGTAATTTTTAAGTGTAAATATTCGGAACGTCCTATAACAAACAATTTTATAATTATAGCTTATATTAAGAGTTAAAGGGTAACAACCTAATAAAGACGGTTTTATTGATTTTCGCGCAACAAAATTGAATAACGAGAGAGTATAATATTAATTCCAGTCGTTTCATTTTCATAATTTAAAATTCGACCATATTATTAAGCCATAATTATCAATTAAAATTTTTATTTTGGATAACTTCAACACTAGAAAATCAAAGAGTTTATTTACTAAGATAAATTAATTTAAAAATTTGTTTATATTGTAAAAGTAGTTTCATCATTTTTAATCCTAGAAATTAATAAATCCTAGAAAATAAATATAGAGAATTTATATTTTAAAACATTTCGGTATTTTAATTCTGTCGAGTGTTCTAGATACAATATCCTATTTTTAAACACGTTCTAGCATCGATATAGAAAAGAGTTATTAGGATGAGGTTGAATCATCCATCCGTTCATCCGTACTAATCACTACTCATAGAGATTTCAATAAAAATCGGAATAAAGGATGCTGAAAGCCATACCAGCCTAGATACGTTTTAAAATTCGTAACAGTTTATTAGAATTTAAAAAATTTGACATTTTGTGTGATTCTCTTAATCCCTTTCATTAAATATTTTTCGAAAATGGAATAGGTATTTTATATCAGGCATGGATAATAAATCGATCGCGGATATATATAAACAACAAGAATAGAAATTCCACACTTTTCACCATAAAATCTTTTAACAACCGCTGTGGGTTGTTGATGTTCTGTGTGAGATAACGAGTGGTCGTCTTTGTTTCTAATTGAGACACAGTGAAAAGAACACGTGCAGACAATAAACGAGAAACACGAGAAAATGGAAGTGCACTTTGATCGTAGCTTTTCTAGGTTATGCTGTTACTATAGAAATTGCTTTGTTGTAGATCTAAACAATTTCAGTTACGTGCAAAATGGATGTATCAAAATGGATGCTTATGATTTATGTAATGAATGAAAATAAAATTCATTTTGTTACGATGCTGCTGTTTAATTTATGTCTCAGTGTCTTAGCCAGAAAGAGGTAACCCGAAACTTCAATTACCGTGTAATAAATAAATATAATTACGTTTTGTAGCATAATTTTGTAAGAGTAGATTAATAAACTTTAAACGTTAAAATAATAATAATAATAATGTGATGATACGAGTAGATCATCGGTACTTTTGACTCGTTAAAAGTTAATTACAACTCACTTTAGTTAAGTCTGCCATATATAACGTTATTTCTGAATATAAACTATGAATGTTCATTTTTTATCTTTACATTAATATTCAATAAGCCTTCAGTTAGAAAAAAAAAGAATTAATAGAATAATTTAATATACAGTCTTAGAATTATATTAATATTAAAATGTAAAGAATTGTTTATGAAATCTTTTATTGACTTTTTAATTTTCGAAGCATTTTAAGAATACAAAATGCTTCGAAATTTGCTGTAGAGTTTTTATTATTTCGAGTGTAATTGGATCGAACATCATAAAGTGAGAAACAGAATGAGAAATTTCAATGTTTCGACATTTATACAAATATCCAATTCCCCAATTTCTCGTTTATGTTCGGAAAGAATTATTATAATAAATAAATAACGAGGAATTGGATTGGATAAGCTTGTCGAAATTGACGAGTTTAGTCCAATTTGCAATTGGGTAATGAATGTGAAATGATCGATAACTATAATATTTTTCAATATAACTTTTTATCTATGAAGGAAAATGCTTTTGTGTTCGACAGAAAATTTTCGTGTTTTACATTTTATTGCTTAAATTGAGAGAATTTCTATGGTCTTGATATACGAGACATATTTATTTTATTTTATTATTAAATGAATAGATTTAATGATAAAATTTCAAGAAATAATTAATTATTTAATAAGCAGTAATTTCAAGAAATACACCGTTTTTTATACAACGTTATACGTTACAACGTATTATACAACGTTTATTCCCATTATACAACGTTTTTTAACGTCGACGCCTATCTCTATATATTTACTTCTACACTACTTGGAGTGATTTGCATTTATTGCATTAATTAAAAATATATTGCGGAATCGTCAACTGGAATATTTTAACATGTTCAGTATTTGTTTATACATCATTTGTATATACATTGATGCAAACATATCATATTAATCTGTTTAATAATATTCTTCGAAAGCCAAACGTTGAACACTTATGCAAATTTCCATTCAATTCTTGATTAGAATAAGAGAACGACAAAATGATTTTTCTCACTTTATGAATATTAATATGGTCTAAGATTCGACAGAATTTGAAAATAGTGCAATTATTGACATTGTCACAATGCCCGGATGCAATTTGAAATTTATTTCATTTAAAATATATGCTCTCCATCTCAAATTAGTAGTGTCTTGCCCCTGTACATCATACTTTTCCGTTAGCAATGGAGTCTATCTAACTCCTTTCGGGGGAGAATTTTTGAATTGAAATAACGTAACTTCCGGTTTGCATCGGAAGTTCGTATATAGTTAATCGGGCCTCCTTCCCTAAACTTCACATATTTGATCTTGAATTTCATCTATCTAACACCGTTCTGGAAATTAAGGAAAGACAAAAGACAGACAGACGGACGGACGACAGTGGGATTTTTAGGTCTACAATTTTTTCAAATCGTAACTATAAAGGATGAATTGGCAAATCTACTATATCCGATGCCGGAAGGACGTAACGTTCTACGTCTTTCCGGCTTAGAGCGTTACGTCTCTATCGTTCCGAAGGCTGCGTCTCTCCAGCGACCGCAAGAGAAAAGAATCTAGGTACAGTAAAGTACGTGTTGTTTATAAAATGGCGGCGAGACGAATTGGTCGAATGCTTGCCACGGTAAACAGTTTTCTATATTATATTACCGAAACTTCTTGCAGGTCAAAGAAGATATGCCGCGAGTTCGGTAAATATTACCATTTGTATCGTGAAATAAAAGACGATGCGGCTTTTCTTCTTTGGAAGCGCGAACGGTTAAACTCGCGCTTCGCTTCCTGTACGCGCGTATAGTTTCTGTACGTCATCTTGTGGGCGCAGCAAGCTAAACTCACGCGCACATTCGCTTTTCTCGGTTCGTTCGTTGAGCTTGGAAGCGTTCGCGACCGCGGTCGCAGGACTCTGCCGCGTAGGACTTACCCTAAATTGACGCCCTAGGAGAAATGAAAATTGAATAACGAGAAATTGAATTTATCTTTGCATTTTGGAGATTTCCCGTTTTTTAAATCGTCTCTGTAGGCCTACGTTTGACAAAATATTAATCTGCAGGAGTCGGTCGAAACTGACACGAGATCTAGGATTTATCGTTTATTCCTGTAAACATATTGCGGATTCGTGACTTCTACTACATTAAACAAACTATTATCGTTCCATAATATTATTGATTGACACGTGACGTATTTAAACGTTTCGTTACGATTACGGATCGGAAAATTTCTATGTCACGTTTTTGCGTAGAATAAAAACCCGGTTTGGATTTTTCTTACGTGGAATTTCGACCTTGCATAATTTTCTTGGATAAAGCGACCAATCGACGGTGATTTCTGGCGAATCGGGTCAAATTCTTTTAACTCCGAATACAGCTTAAACGAAAGTTGCCATTAACCAGATTTTTAGCTTAACGTTAACTCCCATTAACAATCTCCGAGAGCCATGTTGTCCGGTGGCTTTATCTATCTTCTCTGTCAAGTAAATTTATTAGTTTTCTACCTCGCCATCGACCGTAACGAAAAGTAATCTATACTAATTGAAATTATTTTATATTTAATAGTTTTTAGTACTTTCTTCGTCTATCGATGCAGAAATTCCGAAGAGGAATTGGTACGTTGCTGCCGTTTTCGAACATATTCATCGGAGCATGGTCGGTCCTTTCAACGTGTCCGCAGTTCTCGACAATCTAGAAGCCTTTAGCCAGGCAGCTGACGTAGCGGCACAACACGTAAGTACTATATTTTTCATTTTGTTTCGTCCTCGCGTTCGATTTATTTTATTTTGACACGTCGCACGTTCGGCAATTAGACTTATTTAGGACGACAAAAGTCTATTTTTCTATTAGGCCCAAATAACAAAATTGGTCGTAATAAATGTTACTTAATAACCCACGTTCCTAACCTCACACTTCCTTTGTATTCGTAATAATACGAGCGCTAGCAACCTTTCCCTACTTTGATTGTATTTTACTTTTTTGTCATCGTCATAAACGATTTTTTTGGCATGCACAGTATAACTGTATTATTGTATCGATTAAATTATTAAATTATTGTTAAAAACTCTGAATTTGCAAGATGAAATTTCATTCGATAATTTCGTTAAGTTAGTGATTTTTTTATGAGACTTTCAAGAAAAGTTTCGCCGTGTACCGCTACTTTTTGTTGTTTGTATGTTGGTTTTAATCCCGAAGGTTAAATAATAAAAAATCCAGCTATCCCAAATGACCCCTTTATCTCGTTTACGAGTAGTCTCGGCATGTATTAGCCACATTCCACAAGAAAAACTCACTCTTTTCTTCGTGAAAATTTCGTGTTTATTAAAATATATCCGTTTCGAGTGGAATTCGATAGTTTTCTATTTGCTCCACCCATTTGGGAGGCATTTATGTCAAGAAAAAATATTTTTACGGGGAAAACACTCGTCTTAAACATGTCTAATTGCCTGGCTAGTCGGAGTAGTGGATAGACATAATTGACCTTTTGTCAATTCGTTATCAGAATTACAGATTCTATTTCAAGTTATATGACCTTCTAAGTGAAAGCCAACATTAAAAAACTGAACATTGACAGCTTTATTTTTATATAATTTTGATATTTGTAAGGCGAAGTTATGAAAAGAATGTTGTTTATCATAATTAATATCCTCGAGATAGGGTAAAAAGCGAAGTTAATTTTTCGAAGGTTAATTTAAAAGTTAATTAGCGACATGTTTTTTTTTTTTCCTTAACAAGTTTACCTTAGAGAACCACTTTATGCATAAGCTTTAAAAACCGTAATAATGCGATTTACGTAAATTTAATTGTGCGTTACCGACAGTATTGCGATGGAGTATATAATAAATATATATATTTTTTCTATTATCGCTTATCACACTGCGATAATCACATCTATTACGCTAACCGATAGCAATATCTACCAATATAAATTTAATAACCAGGCGTATCTAATCTTTCTGCTAGTTGAACATGTGAAGTTTTTCCATTAGAAGATAAAGAAGTACTGCAAAAACATTCTATCTCGGCACTTAACTATGCCTTTGTAACATTTAACTACTTTAATCTCGAGGAAAATTATATATTGTATGATCTTACAAAGTAAATCGATAAACGTTTATGGAGAAAATCGATATATTAACGTTACCTCGATACTAAGCAGCCCGCATTTGGAATGAATTAAACGGGATTAGAAGAACATTTAAAATACATTAATTTGACGATTTATTTCGGTAATCCGATAGAAATATTTTACTAAATTCTAAAAATAAAAGTTCCAAAATAATTAATTTAGTAGAAAATTGAAAAAAAAAGAGAAGTAAGCCTACTTCCGTGCTACGTATGTTCTGTTTCGAGTTGTTTTTCATCATTTTTTCGCTCCTGTACTGTACGTTACTACCTGTCACCCGTGTAAGTTCTGCAATCCTTTGGTTTCTCCATCGCTCACTCCTTCAAAATCGATAAAGTTCGTCGACATTACCCTAGGCGCAACGTCTATATAGTGATGAATATAAAGAGGAGATTCTTCTTCTACCTCTGTATATTCGATAACATCGGCTAAAGTTATAAGCAATCAATCAATCGTAAACACAAAATTGGTTACTTTTTATTCCAATCCCGGATTTTGAAATGAAAAAAAAAAAACTATTCAATGAAGTAGCTGGATAGATGGGCTTTCCTCTATAACTACAATAAATGGATTATTCTACAATACGATCTTTAGTCTAAATAGATCTAATATTGAATCTGTAAGATATAGCTTCCTTTCGCTCAGAAAAGATAAATAAAATACAGTATATATGGAAAGATCCTATTCGGTTTATAAGAGTTAAAGCGTAACAATCGTCACGAAGTCTCGACTTTTTGATCAGTTTATTCCTTTAAAAATTGATTAAATATGTTTCTAAAAGAATAATTATGATTTTTTTGTGTTGTTTCATCCAAATTTTTAAACTTTTTCCGTTTTTTCTGGAGCTATTTGGTCGTTATTTGCCACATCTCCACTAAGGATACACATCAACATATCTGTGTTAAGTAACGTGTAACTCTCATTTACATTTATAAAGAAAAATAATCCCGAATTATAAATAGATGAAATATAAATTGTGCCGAAACGATTGAAGCTTGCTTGTCGGTGGAGTAAATCCACATTAATATTTACGTTCTAAATCTTCGGACACACCACATTAATTTCGGAAGGAGAGAAATTTAATGTCGACATAGTCATGACGAGCCGGATAATTCCTTAGAAATTTCCTACATAAATAATTGCGGCGTCATCTAATTAATTTCTATACAACTGTATTCGTTGGAGCATTAATTTATCGGGATTAGCCTCTCCGACCGAACAAAGAAAATGTCAAAAGCGCTACATCTGACATTTATACGGTCGTTTACGATAAGGGAGACCTAAGTTTCGAATCCGAGTCGTCTGAGATAATACATGGCTGGGTAGATCGGAATATATTGAGTCCCTTCCTTAGTACCCGACCATTTCCACTGTATATGCTAGGACACTATGAAGTAGTCCAAAGTGGAGAGTTTTAAAAATAATAATAACGAGCTGTTATTTATTATGACATCGCCACAATTTTTAATTTATTTAATTTAAAATATATGCTTTCCATCTCAAATTAGTACTGTAGTGTCTTGCCCCTGTACATCACACTTTTCCTGTTAGCAACGGAGTCGTGCCGGTCATCTATCTAACTCCTTTCAGGGGAGAATTTTTGAATTGAAATAATGCGACTTCCAGTTTGCATCAGAAATTCATATATCAGAAGCTTATGGCCTCCTACCCCTAAGTTTTCCATATCTGGTCTTGGATTTCATTTATCTAACACCGTTCTTGAGATTAAGGAAAGACAGACAGTCAGTAGGACTTTATAGGTCTACAATTTTTTTTTTCAAATTGCATCCCAATAATAGCGAGAAAATCACTAGCTGACGAGAACATTCAGGTATTACTGCCGAATGTACAAACTGTTAAACTGATACGAGAGTCGAGACGAAACGAAAACTTTACATTGCATCACAACTACAAAAGAGCGTTTACACTTTAATCGGTCTTTCGAATTCATTACTCGCATAGCATAATTACGAAGAACTATAATTACAGAGGATCGATAATGGTTTTGGTCGTTCTTTACAGGATGTCGACATTCTCGTATTCCCGGAAATGGCCATTCTTCCACCCAGTCAGAGCAGACAACAGATCTTTCCGTTGTTAGAAGAAGTTCCGGATCCGGAAAAGGTCGAGTGGAACCCTTGTGTAGAAGGTGACGAGAAAGAAAACGTAATAACTCGTAACTTAAGTTGCTCGGCCCGGAGAAACAACATGTACGTGGTAGGTAACTTGGGCCGAAAAGAGAAATGCGAAGGGGATTCCGGATGCCCTTACGATGGATATTATCACTTCAATACCAACGTGGTGTTCGATAGGGAAGGCACTCTCATAGCGCGTTACGACAAGCATCACTTATACTTAGAGGACGCGTATAACGTTCCTCCGCATCCTAAACTGATTGCTTTCACTACCGAGTTTGGAACCTTCGGTACTTTCACTTGCTTCGACATCATATATTACGAGGCAGTAGAATTCGTACGCGATTTTAACTTGACTGGTATCATCTACCCTGTTTGGTGGTTCGACGAACGCCCCTTTCTATCTTCTATCCAGATGCAAGAATCGTGGGCTATTCGACACAATATCACTTTATTGGCCTCTAACGTTCACTTTCCCTTCTCTGGCTCGATGGGTAGCGGAATTTATTTAGGAGAAAAGGGTGCTTCCACTTACACTCACGTAGACGATAACAAGGCAAGATTACTGATAGCGAGAGTCGGAAGTTCCTCTTCGCAACCTCTCCAAATAGTCACCCACTCCGAGGAAGAACCTCTCAAATACCGATTTTACGAATTCGACTTAAAAAACTCCTCTTTGATTAAATTAGAAGAACCATCCGGTCAGGTGGAAACTTGCTTAGGTGGTCTGTGCTGCAAACTCACTTATCAAACTTCCACCCCTCTCGAAGGTTACTATTTGGCGGCGGTTAACGAAATAAGAAGCGGAGGACGTAAGAGATACTTCTGGTGCGAGGAGAGTTGCATCTTAATCAGATGCAACGACAAAAACAATAAAAATTGTTCAACCTTCCCCATTCTCACCGAAACAGTCTTCCACTCCTTCCACCTAGAGGGCAACTTCAGTAGCCAATACGTCTACCCCAATGTCTTGGTTTCTTATTCGGAACTCTTACCTGTCGACGAATGGAAATTCGACATCAAAGGACAGACAAATATCGTACAATCAAAAGGTTCGATCGACCGACCGATCCTGAGTGTCAGTCTGTACGGTCGCTGCTATCATCGCGACCCCCCCTACGCTCCTTAGTCAATAAAAACTTTCCGTGAAGTCGTATGTCTCATTTTTTTGTCTCTCGAATTCGGTGCGATCGGACCAAGCTAGCGGGATGCAAAGACGGGGAGGGAGACGGATCCGAGGTAAACAACCGTTCGATCGAAGGTGCTCATCGATCCGAGGCGCTCCTCCCCATCTCAGAGTGGTTTCGCTCCATCCCGGAGAAGCGGCGACAAGCCGTCTGCCTCCTTCACGTCTCCCGATCGAGGTAAAGATTTTCTTCCGTTTTGGTTCGGTTTGGGCCCGCCGCCGGTCGAATTCGCGCGCCTTTGACTTTTACACGCGGTAACGATTAAGCAACGAGCGGACTCCCTCGCCATCTTCTCTTAACCATCGGGCCCGCGGCCCGGCTAGCGCCTCGGGTAAAATGGCTTCCGTACGTCCGATGACGTCAGTGAGGACGTCGCTTTATCGAATTCGCGGATGAAGATGTAGAGGGCACTGCACATCCGCTCGTCGACGGTCGCTAACCGCATCTCGCTAGGTGAATATCATCCAACGATCGCGAGTTAACGGCGGTCAAGCGACCATCGCAAAGGTCAACCGCAAAATTCGCCACGCCATCGCTTGGACGGTAACCAACAGACGCGCGAGATTCGTATTTTCTAAGTATTAGACGCTTCTAATCATGCGGGAAATCATCTTAGAAAAGTTAAATTCGGAGACCGTTTATTACAAGAAATCACGGAAATTAACGTTACAATACAAATGCGATGCGTGCCTTTCGTTACTTACGATGATCAAGACACAGTTAAACTATATTTAGGCAAAGGACGATCGCTTTAAAGACGTGCAAAGCGTATCTTATTTTTCGATATAATTGTTTATGTTCGATGAACTGTACTTTTCTACCTTCCCTTTTTGATGCATCTTCCTTTTCCTCCAAGGACAGATTCTATAAATTTTCCAACCGCCCTTTGCTGTTGCTGCTCTTTTCTTCTTTCCGTTACAAAAGGCGGGGATCTAATCAATGAAGGTGAATATTAAAGCGAGTTTTTCTAACTGTTGCTAGGAAAAACTTATAAAAGAATGCTTGGAAGACTAAAATCTTCGGATAATAAGACGCAAGAAGCCTCGAAAATAGAAGTGAATTTGTGTAACGTAATTGTAAAAATTAGGATAGAAATTCTCGAATCTTTTCTTTAATCTTCCTTATCTTTTTTTTCGATATCCATGTAAGGATTTTCTTATTAGGGATCGAAAAACTGTATTCATCCGGACACTCGACTAATTGCTAAACAGATGTGTAGTAACGATTCGTGAAGAACGTTCACGCTCTTCTTTCCTTAAATCGATTATTTTATCATTCCCGACTTTGCAGAATAAAAGCAAAGTATAATTACTTATTGAGAGGATCTTTGCTTCCCGGGAAAAAACCGAGAGATAAAAAGGGCTGAAAAAGCGACTGCAGCCATTTTCCTCTTTCGAAAACTTCCGCGAGGGATCTATGTAGAATAATGATAGTGCAAAATCCGAGTAGGTGAGAACGATGACATATAAAGACGAGACAATTTAACAGAAGCCGGAACGCGATTCTGACCCGGAAATCTCCGAAATCTTCAGAGCATCGATCGATGACCGAATTCCAGTGGCGTGTCTAACCCCGAAACAAGTGCATTCTTTCTTTTCTCGTGCAGAATGCCAGTCGACATCTGAATTTTTTGCGATTTTTCAGGTATTTCGGATGGATTACAAGAGCGCCGTCTCCCTTTCAGCTCCAGGGAGAAGCTAAAATGGCCAATCCTGCCGTTCCCGCAGTGGGACCGGCCGTTGCCAAACGCACGTACGGAATGAACGTGGCCTGTCGATTACCGCAGCTGAACAGTTTGTGGTCCGTCTGGTATTGCACAGTCACCTTCTCTCTGCAAATCTATCTGGTCATCAGTAATATCCGCCTCTTCTCCTCGTATACCGTCCTGCCTTGGCCGGTCGGTACTCAGCCCTATCGAGAATTAAGTATGTACGTAGCGTCTATGGGCCTGGCCGTAGTTCTGTTGCCCTGTTTCGTGTTGGCTGCCCTATTGAAAGTTGGTAACTATCCTAATGACGGCACCAAGCTGGGAGAGGCGGAAGCCGACACCGTCGTTTATCAGAATCTACGCAAAAGAAGATTTTATCACGGCTTAAAGGTAGTATGGAGACACAGTGGACCCACTGCTGCTTTTCTGCATATGACTATCGCTTTTTCGTTGCTCTTTCCTCGTCTCTTCATCCAGGCGCAACTGATCAAGCAAGGATTTCTTAACAGAGGTAAGTTGAACTTAAAATTTCCTTTGCCTTCATCAAATCGAGCTTTCGAACTAAATATTACCACGTTTTCCCCCAGCTTTCTTATGGAGAACGGACTTGGATTTTCTTCTTCCTCCGCAAGAAAGGATGGTGGCTATTAGTTTTCTTTCTCGTTTAAATGTTACCGATGTATTGCACCGTCACCAAGACAACCATACAGTGGTACAGGTGGGTACCACTCATCAAATACAAGAAGACTCTACTTTGACGGTAGAATTCCTTAATTACACATTCTCTCTTTTGGTCTATGCTGTTCGTTATCCTTCTGTCTTCTGGAGAACCAGTCGATGGTTCGGTCTACTCTTCTCGTTCCAGATGGTTATTAACACCTTCCACTTACTGGTAGTCTACGCGGGGTTCTGCATTCTATACAAAGTTCAAGTTTTCGGTGCTCAAAGCGTCTTAGTGGATTGCACTCAACTGCTGTTGAACATTCCTTTCTCTGTGGTGCTATTCTTGGCTTATACCTGTCTCCTGGTCACGTCTGGTTCGGTGGTTTATAGTTATGGCATTCAAAAGCACCATGGCTGGCAGGGTAAACACTCGGCCGGTCTATTACTCCTGTACTCTTTGTTGTTCGTGGCTCTGATTGCCCTGCCTGTCGTGCCCTTGATGTACGATTATATGTCGGTTTATTGTGGCAGCCTGGACGGCCTGATGTTGACTGCCGTCTTTGGCACCGCAATACATTTAACGCTGTGGATTCTACTGTGGATTTTCCTCACCTTGAAGATTACCTGTGGGAAACGTAACGGGAGAGAAATTCCAATGGGCTATTCTCCCAACGAAACTCAACCCTGCGGTTACAAACCGGGAAAGGAGACGCCGCTCTTCGTCATCAAGGGAGGGCAAACGTATCAGGTTAGAGAAAGGGCCTCAAAAAAAGCCATCCTGCACATCATCCAAAAATCTCACGAGAGGGAACGGTGCACTTCTCCGGATAACGACGACGTTTATTGGCTTCGACCCAAGACCTTGTCCACGGAAGATATCAGAGAGGGAGGAGCACTGTTCCGAAAACATTCGGCCAACAAGAACAAGTTGAGATTCGATAATGCTAACGCTTCTGGTCCTTCCCCGAAATTGAGCGCTAAATTCAAAAAACAGAATGTTAAATTCGAGAGTCTGTCGGACACCAGCGACGACGGAGACTACGCCATTTTGAGAGATCTCGTGACCGAAAACGAAGAACAGGTAAGAGAACTTCAGAAATCGGTTCCTTTAACATTAAGTAATTGGGTAAGCGCAGAAAAAAATTACTATCGAGCCTCTATTTAAGAAAAGAAAAAAAGAAAGCGCACTGCACGCGAAATACCTTTTAAGGAGAAAAATTCGTCGAACTGGAAAGCGAAGACTTCGCTCTCCTTTTCCTTTTTTTTCTTTTTACCAGATTCGCCAGCATCTTTCAGGAAGCGTTGCCGATCTCTTTTGTTTCCGAGCAATGCCAATGGCTTTTATCTCCTCTACTTTTATCCACGCATCCCAACTTAATTTATTCTAAAAAAGTTAAATGACATAAGGGATATCGGGAATAACGAAAGCGAGAACAGATGCATTTTTCTCCGTCGTACAGGGAATAGATACTAACTGTAGGCTTTACTTCGTCGGGATAGCGATGGCCGAACCTTTAAAATATATACATATGTGTGTTTTGTACTCCTTTTCATTTTATAACAAATAATTTAAGTTAGTGTATTAACGAAAAAGGATGACGTAGGTACGATCGTTCGGCTCACGCTTTCTTAATATATGTAATTATTAAATAGGGAATAACCAAAAATAAGCATGGAAGAAAAATTTAAATTGGAATTTCAGATGATTTTTGTTAATTAACAGAAGGGGGAAGCAGAAGAAGTTTGCGAACAACTCCTCCCGTTTCCAATCGTCCATTAGCAACGTATGTTCCAGTCGGTGACACCTCATTCGATTTTTCTTTAAGACGGAAGAACCGACGGACGTTCCTCGTCATTCTAAATCGTTCCGAAGATGGCATTAGGCCCACTTTATTTGATGTCGGCGCATTAAATTTTACACACAATGAAACTCGAAGTAAGATTTGGCAAAAATCAGCCGAGGTAACTCGATTAAAAATAAATTAATTACAGTATTCAAGCTAATCGAGTGATTTTTTTACGACTTACAATGGGGGAAAGCCCACCTAGACTATGAAACCAAAGTGTAGAACGGATTGTTTCGCTGCCGATTCGGCAATCTGTTTGTTGCTATGACAACTGGAGCGGTGGAAGAAGGCGAATTTACATTCGCGGCACGTCTTTCTCCAACGTTGGTTGGTCACCATAGCAACAGATGACTGCGGGGAGAGCGGCAAAACGGCCGGCACATGCGTTAGATTAGGTTAACTTTCGGACGTTCCGCCCACCGTCCGAAAAACTGTTGCCAATGGAGCGGATCTCCGAAACGAAAACGTCATTAAAAATAAATTAGTCCTCCATCGATTGAAAAAACTTAGAATTGCTTAAATAAATCGAAACTTTGCGAAATTTTTTATTCGATAAGAAGCAGAGAATACAAATCCGACTATGACCGGAAAGCGAAATCAATGCGAACGAAAAATTTCGAGTAGCGAGACGTGTCTGACGGTTCCAACTCGTCCCATAATCTACGAAGCGAAAAAAAATCTTCGACCGAAAAAGCTAATATAAAACGGTTTCACACGCGAGAAGTACAAATACGATTTGTCACACACTTTTTTATTTCGACTCTGGAAAAACGAATGTCGCAGTCCTGGGAGAAAGATATTTATAAATGGCAAGACCATATATTTTAATGAGTTAGAATCTTTAAAGGTGTAATAAGTTTCTCTCGGTAGAGTAAACGAACGTCTTTCTTCACAGCCGATAAATTCTATCCGAAGCCGGAGGAGAGGAGATTTCTCGTGTTCTCGCGTAACGAAAAGAAATTCGAACATTGTGACGGTTTCTTAGCCATAAGAAAATTACAGCAGAGCTCGGAATTTAAGTGTGAACGAGGCATTGGCAGGCGTGAAGCGGAGACCCGGATGCTGATTGCAGTCTTTTGATTTTTTCAGGAGAACCGGGAAGAGAAGGAGAAGAGTCCGACGGAAGAGGGTTCCGTCGGGACCGAAAGAGCGTCCGTGACGGTGCACGGGAGGGGAGGCGACGAGGCGGGTCCCGCGCCCCCTTCGCCGCACTCGGGGAGCGATTCGTCCAGCGGCATCCACTCGCCGAGCAGCGCAGCGGGCAAAAGGGCTTCCAGCATGGAGAACCTGGCAACGTGCGAGTCGGCCAAACCCGTGTGGAAGAGCATGTCTCTGCAACGCAACGCGCCCTCTGCCGGACACGGAGAAGTCTACTACGGCGATCCGCGGACCACCTTGGTCATCCACCGCAAATTCCACGGTGCCAAAGCCGATCGGGCGGCGGCAGGCGACGAACCCTTCGGTAGAGCCACCAACATGAAAATGACGTCGTTCACCGACCGGTCCGACGGTCCTAAAGCTTCGCCGCCCTCGCCCGACAGAACCAAGGAAACAAACAAGGCTCGGGCGGGCCCGGTCGTCAACCCCACGTCGGACCAGGGCCACCGTCGTAGGGACTCCGCCAACTACTCTCTGCCCTCGTCGGGAGACTCCGACGTCTCGCACTCTTGACACAGGCCCTCTCTCTGACCGTCTCTCTAGTCTCGTGCCAAAGGCCCTCCCGGTTTTCTACCGCCGCCGCTTCGCCTCGATCCTCTCTTCGACGTTCCGTGCACCGGCGTTTCGTCTGTGTCGTCTCGTGTGCGTGTTTATTAAACAGTGCCGAACCGTGATTACTCTCGCTCTCTTTACTCTTCTACACCTTACAGATCTGAAAGACCGTTTCTTCTCGAAATCGCGTCCATGCTACGTCGATTAATCAATTTAACGCGTTAGGCACGTGTGTGTGTTCCCCAATTTCCCTGCGGACGTTCCGATTTTCACATTTTTGGCGATATTTTTACCTTATTTTCAATCGCACCATCGTCTTCCGATATCTTTAGTTTCATTTCTAACGTCAATAATTACGCAAACTCGGATAAGACAAAAAAAAAAACACCATCGACTATGCCAACCACACGAGCATCGGCCCAATGCTTCTCAGTTTAATCGAACGGTTTCGGTAATCATTGCCTATTTTACCCGATAATTAAACTATTGGATCGAACAATCTGTTCGTAATCATTATAAAAATCGATATTTTGAAGAATTTTTATGATTTTTCTCCTGGGAGTTATCTTGGCGTTTGATAAGTTCCGGCAAAATCAAACAAACTGAAGAGTTAAGTATGACAATAAACGTACGGAAGAACGAAGATACGGTGCAGTAATGGCCGCAGGCATTCCGCTGACGTCAATACTTGACGTATGGATCATCATCGATAAAGTAAATAGCAGACTCCGGTCGATTCGAATGAGAAAAATCTAGACTGCAGCTTTTTAAATCGGTGAAAGAGGCAAGAGAGAGCGTAGAACGGTTACCCGGTAATCTCGCCATATTCGAAAATAGATCCGCAATCGAGATTAGAAGAATTAATGGCGATTCATTCGTAGCTGCGTAATCGATCTCTCTATATATTCTCGACGCATAATGTCTTACAATCCGAAATAATGAAGAAATTTCACGATTAAATCTTCCAATTGCAGTACTGTTATAGCCTATAAAAATTCTATCATTACTGGAAAGAATTCTAACACCTTCGTCGTCGACTAAATGTCAACTCGTAAAAAACGCCAAATAGAATTCCTTCTATTCGCTTCTGTTTCCTTCCTATTATATCCTCATCTTTAATTTTGTACGTTCTCCAGTGGGCTCTTAACAGCACAACTCAAAATATAATGGACCGACAAAAGGATAGAATAGCTTTGTAGATATATTACGTTACTAATGTTTTCTTTGTGTATTCTATTGTTGACTGATACTCGTTAACGGTATATTTGTGATTTTCACAAGATATCAAGTTCCTTAACTCCACTTAACGAAATTTCAGTTCATTCTCCCATTCATTATTATCAGATATTACGTCAGCACATGCGGTCGATTTTAACGATGAAGAAAATGAACTAAAACCATGACTAACCGAACAGAAAACGTGTCAATAATCCGTTAAGGGTGCTAATAATCACACTTTTTTTAAATTGGAATTTACATAATTATAATTACATCGTTTGTACTAAATTTAATTAATAATTTTAAAATATTATACCCTCAAATTCTTTCAATGAAAAATATAAACGTGACGGTAAAAAAATTCTGCAAGAAAACAAAATTAGAAAAAAGCATTTCGTTAAAAGATGATCATTGTTTTTTTGGAAGAAAGACAATACTTACCTATGTTTTTTTCAGGCAGAAGTCTTTCTCTTTGCACTTGCCATCAAACCCATCCATCTGTACCAAGATGGAGCATTCGCCATCTTTATCTTTTAAAAGCTGTAAACTGTGTTATTGTTTTTTAATTAGTTCTTATGGCGTACTGGATGACTATTTATCTCTTTTATACTGGAAGACCAATATCAGTTCGCGATCCATTATTATGAAAACTTCTCTAGATGATTTTTCTTCATGTTTTTTTTCTATAAATATGTCAAATTAAAATCAATTAAATCGTTTACTTGAAGTATTTGTATAAATTCGAGATGTTAATAATTGTGGACAATATGTTTTGGGTTGATATGATGTTTTTTTTGTGATAGATACTTTACTCTAAAAATACGTGTTGTAGCAATTTTAAAAATAGTTATCAGTTATTAATATATGAAAAAAAAACATTTTATGAAATTCTTTAACAAAAAATTCGTTGAATTCTGTCTTGTTAACATGTTTATACGTTACATATACAAATATATGTGGAAAAATATGAAATACAAAAACATTTTTCTCAACTTTTATTATTTTTTTATGAGTAAAGAAGCAATATTACTTCTAGCTTACAACAGCAAAATACGAGGTATATCTACGAAACGAATGATGTTAGTTCCATGATATATTGATACGGAAGCAATTGGAGTGTCATTGACTACAGCCGTAGAATAACAAAATATAAAACAGCACGAATATGCCTGGAGGAAATGGAGTTATTTCTCAAAAATATTGATAACCGAAAAGATCGATTCTCATCTTCGAGTGATAAAATAAAAAATAAATAAAGAATGCAAGAATTCGTTTTAATTTTATTACGGAAACTGTTTGAATCGAACTGTTCCACTTCAAATTGAAATTTATCTGGGATTTCAACACCAATATCTTTACACGTTTAAAAGTGTACAAATGCATGTAATCATTAGATATTAAGTTGGAAAATGATAATGGCTATTTGCATCTTTTCTTAATATTTGGACGATTTTGGCGTACAATAGATCACGTCTATGCTTCTAGCGCATTCTTTCACTTCACGTGCAATTCGAACTTTGAAATATCGTTCGAACTCTGGAGCAAATTTAGTGATCGAAGCACGAGGTACTACTGTATAATTATATATTTTAAGCATAATTAAAGGCAACTATAACTAGTCAAATACTATTATCAGGAATTTTGTATGGTGCTCTTAAAGATAGCAGTAGCCTACTAAAAAAAAAAAAAAATTGCCCTTGGCATTAAAGTGGGTTATTCTCGTGGGAAAATATCCTTCTGATTTCAAAAATCACTTTAAATTATTTTGGTAACCACTAAAGAGAGGTTTAGAGACGAATAAACAAATCTGTTATGTCCTTCTACTCCGACATTCACTAGATGTCAAGAATCATCCAGATTCCCAAATTGACTTCTGAGTGGTTCTTGACCTCTAATAAATGTCGGATTAGAAGGACATAACAAATTTGTAGTAGTTACCAAAATAAGTGATTATATCCAGCAAATATTACTAATTTTAGCTTTATATTAATCATTTTCAAACTTTTCTATCACTCAAAAATCAAAAGATACAGACACATCCTGTCTAATGGCACACATAGAACAGTACACAAACAAGATAGCATACGGATGTATCAGTATCAGTATCAGGATAGCACATGTATCAGTGAAAATCATTATAATGTAATTTTGTTTCTTAATTTACACCGTTTTGAACATTGGTAGATATATCAGGATGGGCAGACACATTTTTAAGTGGAATCCAAACCATGTTTCGACCCTGCAGAATATCAAAAGCTTTGCATCAAAAGTAGCTGCTGTACAAGCTGAATATGGTAAAATGAAAATATAATAAAATAAAAGAATAAATTAAAAAATGCACCACTTGTCTTTTCAGTCATTAACGAATTAATAAACGATTCCTACTTTGGCCGATTATACTCGACGTTTCAAATAATAAAAATTATTGTAGTCTGTCCGATTACAGGTGCTATAGATTATTATTAAATTCTGGAAATTAATTTTTTATTCAAATATTTTTTATACAGACGATCTAAATCAGAATACAAAAATTCCCCGTGCTACGAAGCCATCTATTTTCCGCAACGGCACAGAAGTGTGACGTTGCAAGATGTGGAGGGATTTAATTTAATAAAGATTACAGAATTTTTAACTCTTTATTTATTCCTAATTTCAAACATTTAAATTATAGTATTCTTAGTAAATTTTGCAACGACTTATATTTAGCATTAATGATGTAAGATAGGGATATTATCTTTTCTTTAAGTTCAGATTCATTAATATCTATTGGCAATAGGTTAGAAAGATTTAATTACGAGTCCTGAAAATGTTTTTAATTTTATACATATTTGATTTATTTTCAAATGTTGCAATCAACCTCTGAATACTTTTAACATTGCTGAAAACAGAAGCTGCAAGTGAACATACTTTTTCTAAGTAGCATCGAGAAGTTTTAAATTACCTACAATTTTTCGAAAAAATTTGTCCGAGTTGGCGTGGGTAAACTCACGCCAACTCGGTTTAATTTGTTTGAAAGCTATGTGTAATTATATATTTTCTGTAATTAACATTAAATCAGGACGACAAATTTGAAGTTTGCTTCAGGCACCAAAACTGTTCGGTATGACCCAGGTCTTCCCATTAGCTATAGAAATCCATCTCTTTTTTTCTTTTTCTGTCCTGTGGGCACTAAGAGGATTTTTTAGCAAGTCCATTATGGATTCGGCCAGGCCCACAATGGGGCGACCGGGTGGTGAGGGACGGGGCCAACATATCCGGATGGATCACCCCCTGCAAAATTTCTGGGGATTTTTCGACCCGTCCGGATTCGATCCCGAGTCCCCCAGAGCGATAGACTTGACCGCTCGGCCATCTGACCACTCTATGAAGCTTTGTAAGCCCGAAGATTATTTAGTCAGGAGACCACCCGCGTTATACCGATAACGTTACCATGACCCCAGTCTATTGATCATGTGACTAGCTTTATTCCAATCTTCACTCAATACGGTTGATTATGCCCGAATATAAGAACAGAAGTGTGCAAATATATTAGGGGACTCGGGTGCAGAAGGTAAAAGGTGCCCTTTGTCTGTGTTGAGAAAACGGAGAAATTAAGTAGAACTTAGTTTTAATAAATATGTTATACTGTATAAGTTCTTTCTTACAGTATCCAGAATGTGCGCTTTAAACAATATTGAGTTTGGGAACGCACACATTCCCAAACTCAATATTGTTTAAAGCGCATTAGAAGGAAATATGCTTCGTGTTTAATGTTTAGGAACACTTCGTGTGGAATACTTGTCTTCCCTCAAAGTACAGTATTCATCACTTGTGCTTCAGATACTTGTAACATAACCAATAATTATAAAAGAATTTGAACACCGTTTATAAATGAACAGTTTCTTTATATGTGCAGTAGTTCATGGTGTGTCAATCCACTTATCACACGTAAGAGCGCAGCAATTGACACTATTCATTTATGTAATCAACTGCTATTTGGAAACGTTTTTCAACTTATAGTGGTAGTATTAGCGTTTTGTACGAATGTACAAAACAATATTTATTGTGCGGCGTGGAATTCGAAATCTAGGCAAAACAGTTTTCATAAATCTTCTGAAGCCAAGCTACTGAAGAATCTAGAATGAGTTTGCATATGCTTAATTAA